GATAGAGAATTGAAAAGTCGATTCAGTCGTAACAACGTGAGTGAGGAAATTCGAGTAGTTTTGACTCAGAAAGCGAAATTTGAATATCAGACACTTAGGTGTAAGATTATGCCAAAGTTTCATGTTTTCCGTCCCATTTTTGCTCATTTCTCGGAGGCAAAATGAGCAAAAACGCTCATTTTTACATCATTCTAGACAGAAATAAATGGCCTTTTTCTAGATAAATGTTACAACAATGTGCTCTTAATTGCATTCAATTGATTTTTCAATAACTTTTCACTGTTTCATTAATCCGAGGGCAAGAACTCGCTTTTTCCTTGCAATTAGTAAACCGTTCCTCAATAGTTAGGAATTCTGGTAGAAATCTAACTATTGGTAAAATTCTCTTGGCCAACAGTTTTTCTGTAATTTTTCTAAGAATCAGGGCAGTGAAACCGATTGTTGGGGCAAAAACATGTTTGCAACTTTTGCATGTATTTTCTTCAGACTTTTTAGGGAAATTTCGCAAATCCTTTTATCAAGATTTTTCGAATTATTACTGGCTAAAGTTGGATTGTTTTCAAACGAAAAATAAGTGTCGAAATTTACAAATGTTTCCTTCTATGAGAGCCACTTTTAGAAAATTCAATGTTTTTTTCCAAAAAAGTTTAGTTTTTCACATCAAACGGGGAAACATGTGGGGAATAATAACAATGTGAAAAATCATGAATGCAAATAACTCCAAGAGAGTAATAAAAGGAAGAAAACTAACTAAAACATTTCGGCTTAAAGAACATAAAAGTCCAATCAAATTTCTTTAGAACGCAATACAAAATTTCCTGTGGCTACTATGCAGGTATAGCAAATCTGATTACTAAATTGATATTAACCTGTTTCTTCCATGCAACTGCAAAATAAACCAAACAAACTGTAGTAGGTGTAAATCATATATTAACAAATACAAACGAAAATCAACTTTTACCAACGAAACATGCATTAGGTAGGCCATGCTGATTGATAAAGCAACAAAACGAAACAAAAATAACCAATTTTTTCATCAAAATATTTTCAAGTTTCCACCTTTTTCTCCTCTTTTGTTGGTGGACTTTTCAGGCTGAATAACAGCGGCGCGTAGAGAAAATCAAGCATGGCAATTCCAAAAAGCATCCACTCGAAGCCGATGTTTTTGATCAGTGTCCCACTCAATGCAGGCCCTGAAATCATGCATTATATCAATCAAAATCGATTGCACTTGTTATGTATAATCTGTGGGAAATTCGCATGTGTGTTATGTAAATGTTAGTTTTATCCACAAAACGCATAAGCTATTTGCTACGCTTTAAGGTAAAAAGTTAAATTGATTTACTCGCTTAGATTAATCGAAACATGCCGATGAAGTTGACAACAACTCCAAACAAATATGCAAATTTCCATTGGTGCACTTTTAAATCATTTTCGAGCGCATTTAGTGGACCGATTAGTATTTGTGTTTAATAAAGCACCGCGGCCCAATCAACTGCTTATGTAAGTAACATGCTGTATAGGCTTTTTGCACTTTTCCTTTTTATATTCATTAAATTCCAGTCTGCTGGTTTTCGATCTAGTTTCCACTCTATTTTGGCTGTAATGCACTAGAAGAGATCAAGTGACCGAATAAGTTGGTGTGTTGGCGATTATTTACTAGGCCGGTTTGACTTCCTGCTGTGATTTTTGTTCGAATTTTAATTGACTGGCCTCCTGCTTTGGAACTTTATTTCGTTCGTACACTGTTTTCTAGCTTTCAGCGATTTAAGTAGTTTTAAAATTTTTGGATTTTTAGTTCCAGTTTTGTCTTGGCTCTAAGGGTTTTTGTCGTGGTTTTTTGTGCTGCCAGCTGCGTATGTGGATTGTTTCCACTATTTCCATGATTTTATTCAATTGTGATTATTAAGTTGGAAACAATTTTTTTCTGTCGTTTCCTATTTCGACCTAAAAGCCCGAAAGAATTTTATCAAAATGTCCCCTTTACCAAATACTAGTTTTCGGTGTTAAATTACCGTTTAATTGATTTCGTCGATAATTCAGAAATGTGTATCTTTGACTTGCTAAACTCTAATACTCCAGATCAATGAGCAGCATTTGCACCGCTAGTTTCAAAACTGTCGATAATTGAGGAATTTCGGTCAATGGTCAAGGTGTGCTTGATGGCCTGAACGGAAACCAGC